CTAAGACAAAAAAAGTAAAACGAAAAAAAAAACAGGGGGGGGGGGCGCCCTTGAATCAGCTGTCTTTACTGACTTGATCAATACGATAAAGTGACTGTTTATGAAAAACTGTCTTCAGATCAGTTCAAAAGATCAGCGAGAGCAAAAACGTGACTGGGTGTCGCCGTGGAAGTCAGGGGGCTGTGATTGGTCAATTCCTCAGCGTTGACGTAGTGCAGAACTGCACGTTGCTGTGGAAGTTACTAGATCATTCAACCCACCCGGAGGTGAGTCGCCCCCAGTTACTTTGGGTTTCTTGATTAATATCCCGTTAAAATGCTTTGAATATTAATCTACTGGTGCTTTTTTCACGCTTTCATGTATGTGACCCAATGCTTGTCGATACTACAGCCAATTTAAAGCTGAAGTAAGCTAACGTTAGTAGCTAGCAAGCGATATCCATTTCTGTTCTTTGTATTTATCGGTAATGCATATAGAGGAAAAATATATACATATATTTTAACCCTATAGTTACTGTTATATGTTTCAGTGCGTATATAGAAATGTAGCACACCTGTTAATTTCAGGTTTGTTATTTGGCTAAACCGCTGTTTGCATTGCAGTTCTTGATGTTTGTTATGCTTTTTTCCACAGATAAACGTGACTGGTTACATAACTTGTCAAAGGGGAAAATTTTGCTCCACCGGTTGTTACTGGGCGTCTGAAGAACGGCTAATATCTTTGGCTTCCAACTGGTTAGTGTACGTTTCTGAGCGTAAATGGAAATAAAGTGGTTATAAGGGGGTTCTCCGTTACGCGTTTAAAAACTGTTTCGAGCTGAGGGTGAAAATGGTGAAAATGGCAAGGACTGCTGAGCTAGCTGATGCAGCCATATAATGGTAGAGACTAGAGAACGGGCGTAACGCTGCAGTATTACGCCAACATGATCATTGACTGTGTTACATGGCACAAACGGCTTGCTATGTTTTATAGATGAATACAGTTTAGTGGTTAATGCAGTTTATATGTAGCTACACGGGATTTGTTGGAGCGGCGTTTTATAGCTTAAACAGCGACACAGATGACATTGTTTAGTGTATGTAATGCAATTAAAAGTAGGAGTATAGAACATGGAAGGAACTCGAGGTCAAGCCTGTTAAATGAGAATTGCAGCCTTTACAGGAACGCTGAGTACAATGCATTGTGTACTGAAAAGTAAAAATGTCAACAAATGCAGTGAAAACAGCCCCGTTTCTCTGACATATTGTCCAGCTACCTAGTTTTTACCTGAAGAAGATGTCAATGTCTCACTAAAAGCTTCATCATCCATTGGTTCGATTAGTTGTACTTTGGCTACAGTTACGCTAGAGTTAAAGCTGCAGGTCCTCTAGTGAATTTGGCTTTCAGGCTAGAAAATATGGCACACTCTTCAGCTTTAGCTCTATTTTTGTTTGACCAGGTGTAAATGCAGATTAGATGTGTTGCTTTGGACTTTGCACTACAAGTGTTAGAGAGAGTTTTTAAAAAACATGTAACCACACCTGAAAATGCTTTCAGCATTCTACCGCTACCTTTGCCCTGTCATTTGTTCCTCTTCAGTATGTAGCATTATTGACATCTTGTTTTCTTTCTTTCTCTAACCCAGTTTTTTTTTTTTCTGGCACCAGAATTTGGTGCTGATTAACAGTAGCACTGACATATTTTGGTTGGTTCCCTCAACAGCACCAGCTCAGTACCCAACCCTACTTATCTGGTTTATATGGTTACTCAGATGTATCTTGTTAGACATCAAAAAACTTTAATAGTAATTGTTCTTCTATTTGTTTTTGTAGTCTTATCACTGGCTGAAACGTGGGAAAGGTCCATAGCCAAATCCTGACCATGGCTGCAGTGCATCATCAAGGGTACCCACTCAGGGATTCACTGTACTGGGATGAAACAGAGTGCCTCAACTACTATGGGATGTTGTCTCTCCATGAAGTCTTTGAAGTAGTTGGTTCTCAGCTGACCGAGACTGACATTGAAGTCCTGTCATTCCTTCTGAATGAAACTTGCTCCGCGACACATCCTCTCGATCCCGCAGGCTGGACAGTTGAACCCCGTGAGGACAATCCAGATGATCCAGGTGTGGCCCCAAGTCCACAGCTACTAAAAGCATGGCAGCAATTAAAGCCTACGGGGTCACAGCAGCCCTTTTTGGACCCAAAACCCAAGAGTGGCCTTGAGCTGTTGCTACAGCTCGAGAGGAGAGGATACTTTAGTGATGGAAACCTGGCACCACTACTGCAACTTCTAAGAGTCCTTACCCGTCATGACCTGCTACCCTCAGTGTCCCACAAGAAAAGGAGGACAGGTGAGGATCTTGAGATTATGTCCTGCTGTAGTTGATCTCAAATAGTTTGCCATTATGTGTTTTTTATGCTTTTCAGTTTCTCCAGAGAGAATTGGACAGAGGTATGAGATAGAAAGCACAGAGTCGGTGTGTACTTCTGGAATAAGTAGCAGCTGCAGGGAGACCGAAACTCCTCTTACATCTTTCGCACATCAATTAGAAACTGGTAAGTTTACTGCTCTTTAGTATTTGGCCAAACTGAAGTACGTTCTTAAGTGTCTTCAAGCTGATTAATGATGATTTGAAAACGTGTGTGTGTGTGTGTGTACCAGATTCTTTTGTGGTTCAGAATTGGCCTTCTTTAGCCTGATTGACTCTGCTTATATGCAAAATATAAATTAAGGCATGGAAGCTGCTACTTTTTTTCCCACATAAATCGGTGCCTTTTGTGTATTTCTGACTATTATATATGTCAGTGATTATTATCCTAATTAAAATAATAATATTTAAAAAATAATTTTTGGTGGTTAAAACCTTTTTTTTTTCTTCTTTTTTTTTGATCTGTGTCTTGTGTGGGGAAGAACGCTGTGTACGCACCATGATCTTAACAGGCATTTTTCTTGTTGAAAGTTGTGATCAAATATCAGCAGTAAAATTTCGATGAAAAGCTAAAAATAGTCCTTTGCTGTTATTTTTGTCTTGCATCCCTGAACTCAGTCAATATGTTTTCTGTCAGGTATTTACACTCCTGTGGCTGGGCCATGTGCAAGTAGGCGGAGGAAGAAGAGGGGAAATGGCTGGAGCCGTAAGTCCAAGAAAACAAGCAGGCAAAGTCATCCTCTGCCTCCACCACCAGCGCCACAAAAAGTTTCCTGTGGTAAGTGCAACTCATGCATTTTCAAAGTGTCTTTCTTTTTATTTATTTTTTTGTTTTTTCTCTTGTCTTCTGTGGTACCTTCATCCTGCTATTTACCCCTGCTGCTCATTTTTCCTTCTTTAAACAGACGAGAATATAATTTTCAGCCTATTAACACCTCCCTGGCATCATCATATTTCCTGTTTAGTTTCTTCAATTCTGATGTTGTTTATCTATGCTAAATCTTGAATGCCAGAATGTTTAAAAATGCATAAAAGCGCCAAGTTCATGCTTAAGAAGATTCGTGTTTAAAAGTTAGCATACAATTTAACATGTTATTTGTAGACTTGGGAGAAATGGACAAATTAAATAGCAGTAGGGATGGTAATTGATAAGAATTTAGTAATTCCGATTTCTTTATCGATTTTGCTTATTGATTCGGTTCCTTATCGATTTCTCATTGCCTCCACTTTGAGAGTTGCCAGCACTTCTAAGCAGCATATCAAATTCATGCAAATTAATTGCGTACGTAATTAACTAGGTGGTGAAATGTTTGTGCATGTTGGAGGCATTTCCCCTCTTTGTTGTGATCAGTGTTGGGGTCACTACTCAAAAAAATAAATTTAAAAAGTTGTTGCACATATTTCACAGAACACTTTTCTTAAAAGTAATGCAGTACGTTATTTAATTACTTCCAGGAGAAAGACATTTGTTATACTACTTGTTACATTACTTTAGTGTTACTCTGTAAAATGATCTGAAACTGACAGTCTCATAATCACAAATCCTAATAAGGACAAACGTGATCTTTCTCTTAGTATTTAGGTATGAACACAAAGCCGACAATGCAAGTCGAAGATAAAAAACCATCACCAAGAGACTTTAAAGCAATCGTCTTGGTGATTCCACTGTAGAAACGGAGACTGCAGTATGACTGCTCATCAGTTTGTTACCTGTTGAAGTTCAGCAGTGGCTGCTTCACTATAACTAATGGCTCACTTTATCATGGTGCTGGGCTTAAGTCAGCATTCACTCAGCTTTAGCATCACTCTGAGTTCCTCTTAGTAGGGCTGCATGATTTTGCATAAAATGAGAATCACGATTTTTTGGCTTAGAATTGAGATCACGATTCTCTTTTCCAGTATAAATATTTATTGCACTTATTAACTGCACATCAACTTCGTAACAGTTGAGACTGAACATAAAAACAATAAGTAAACATAAAAACAACAAATGTCTCACGTTTTGTTGTTGCCGCAAAATATCATACTGCTTGAAATTCCGTCTCCACCGTTGCTCGACACTGCGTGTATAGAGCAGGTAGTGCAACAATAGAAAAATAGTTGCGGGACGGCACTGTGTAGCGTTTGTCTAGGGTGTTGATCATTTTCCTAAATCCCTCGTTTTGCACAGTGTTGATGGGAGCCATATCTTTGGTCAGGTGATAAGTGATAGCCTCCGTAATTTCTTTGTGCCTGCGGGAGTTCGACGGGTATAGGGAAGCGCTGTATAAGGTTCCCGTTATTGATGTTTGGGTGGTTGACCGGGACGGATTTTCTCCTGTCACTTTCTCGTCATCCCTGACGTGCTCTCTGTTGTTTTTTTCCCTGCTAATTTTAGCATCACACGGCACAGCCTCTGTATCACGTGGTATAAGGCTCCGCCCTTGTCATTTGTTGAGCAGGAAGAGTGAGCGCTTGTTTTCATGCAGAGTACGTCCCGGATCAAAATGCGGTACAGTCGTCGTCGTCTTTTTTTCTTTTTTTTTTTTTTTTTTTTAAATCGTTGTCATTTGGAAATGGGAAATGAGATCGCACATAAGTATGAATCGAGATCGCGATTTTTCTAACGATTAATCGTGCAGCCCTACCGCTTAGCTTAGCGTTAGCATGCTGTGCTTGCGGAATGTTGAAGTTGCGTTAACAGTATAAGGCAGTTGTTTCTGTCCCAGTCTCCACTTTACCATTGCGCTCTCATCCTTTTATACAATAAAAAATAAAAGAAATGTCCATATTCACGTCATAAACTGCACTACTGTTTTCCTCCTATTACACATAAACTAAATCAGCTGAATGTAGCAAGAGTGCAAGAACGGATAAGCAGGGTCGATAGGCAGGCAGACTAACGATTTGAAGGAAGTAGACTACTGGGAACCAGTTCTTGACAAGAACCAGTTCTCGATTCCCATCCCTAAATAGCACAGAGCGGTACACTAGATTCACACCTACTTATAAAAATGTGGAAGATGGTGTGCTTGCAAAGGCCACTGTACTTTACCTCTTCCTGGAGCTGCACAGAGTCCAAACATGTTCCAGGGTTGAGGAAACTTTTATTTTCCTTCTGTTTTGTTTTTCAACCCAGTGTCACATTTGGTGAAAAATCCGGACTGCAATATTGCCTAAAGCTCTCTGTGCTGTACAGACCACAGCGCTCATACTTTTTATGTTAGTACCAAATGTGCTTAAAAATCCTAGAGCTACTTTTAAGTCTGAGAACTCAATGTGATGTGCTTCCCTTTGATTTTTTTTTTTTTTTTAAAGCATTTCCACATTATGTTTTTGTTGGTACACTATGATCTTGTTGAGACTTAATGATAACCCTTTAACTGTCGTTTTTAAACATACAACATCAGAGTTTTGTTGCCTTATCAGTTTCTCCCTGTGGGAGTCCTTTATATTCTTTTCCCTTCATTCCACCTCTCTTTTCTCTAACCTTTTGGACTATGTTCAGCTGCTGCTGTTGATAAGAATGCTCACTGGTAGGCTGTGTCTTGTCCTTTTTTGTTTTTTGTTTTATTCCCTTTTCTTTCAATATAAGTGTCCAGTCCAATCACTACCAGATAGAGCCATTGTTCTGCTTTATTGCTAAGCTTGAACCAGAGTGGTTCTGACAACTGTCAAACCTTACATATCCCCCAAAAATCACTTTTTAGCAGTTGTTTGAAACTGTCTTAACGCCACTGAAAAGCTGCACTATGTAATCCATTGTCAACGTCCTTGCCCATATTTCCACTACTACCTGCCTTTAAGAAATCAATGGTAGTTTGTCTTGGTACAAAAAGACAGATAACACTAACATCAGTTTCCCTTTTGTGTGAAGTTTGCTTAGTCATTCATGTAGACTTTCCCAAACTTCTTTTGAATGTCCATCTTTGCCTGTTGGTCAGAAATATTCATTACAACAAAAGCCCGATGATTCTCACTTCATTCAAAAAATAAAAGAAGAAGAAATCATTAAGGACAGCCTTTCTTAGCTACTCAGGATGAGTGATGTGCCTGTGACTATGAACTGTTGCTGTCTTGACTCCACATTTGATTCCACCAGGTTGACTCAAGAATGTGACTCAGATCGAGTAACCTAAGACACAATGGATCATGGAGACTGAGGAACAAAACAAAAAAGTCTGTCACTCCACTCTGTCTGCACATACTGCAGTGTGCGCGATCAACTCAGTCATGCGCTCTCTCACAAGTCTGGGCCGATGCCTAAGGTAAAAGAGGCTCTCCCCCTTGTTACAGCAGGGGTTGGTGCTGCCACTTTGCTCTGTATACGATGCTTGTGTATCATAATGTAGCTGCTCCTTACCCTGTCTCCTTCAGAAAACATAATCTGCTTTAACAGAAAAAATCATCCTGTAATGTTCTCTAGTCTTGTGCACTGTGGAAGAAAAAAAGCTTCTATTTGAGATTTTTAGCTTCCTGCCTATTAATGACAAGAGTTATTGGTGTCAGTGTTTCACAGAACTACCAGAGTCCTCAGCAGTAAGTCTCAAACCCAAAGACTGTACAGTGATCTTGGGAAAACCTTGAGTCAGTTTGATTTTACTCAAAGCATACCGAAAGGGGAAGCGTGTAACGAAAGTATTTTAAATTCCCCAATATTTGAAATCACGGGAACTTAACATATTTTCACAAATATGTCCAGCAGAAATTCCAGTAAATGTGAGTAAGGCTTGGGAAAAGAATGAAACTAACTTCTTCCAACCAGATGACCAGATGCTTTATATGGGCAAGAATAGGACATTGAATTAGGCATAGCTGAAAACCTTTAGCTGTAAAGAAAACTAAACTGTTAGCCACACTGACAACATAGCCACTCATCACATTGTCTAACCTTAATTTACGTACACAACCTGGGAAACCAATGCAGCACAGTTCAATCTTACAGGAAAATTAAGTTGGCAGCGTAGTAGCCGAGGAAAAATACAGCAAGTATGTGTACTGTCAGAGTCAGTCTGTCCTCCATTTTAGAGCTGCCATTTCAGATTTTCCTGCAGAACTTTTCACAGTTAATTAAACTTTTCATCGTATGAAGGGTGGTGAATGCCTTCGTTGTACAACAGCCAGTTCTCTCTCTGGAAAGACCTAATTGGTCAGTCTCTAGTCATGGGCTAAAGCCTAAAAAGAGAGCTGAGAGAAGTTGCACAAGTCTAGTTTTGTCTTGGACAACATGCAGAAAGATTATTGTGGAAGCTTACAGAAAAATGTCTGCTTAACTTTGCTACTTTAATAAAATTCAGTAGCCTGTCAAGGAAGCCACCAGACTTAAAGCAAATTGCTCCAGCCTACTATTGTTCAGTCTGAATGATTCATATTCTGAAATGGCCACTGTGCACCAGCCCTGACCTTTGCTCATGTTACACAGTACAGTTTCTAAATGTTATTAAAGAGGATGACACCAGATGAAATCATGGAGGTTTTTAGCTGTGGTGAAAGTTTCAGTAGTAATGCAGAAGTGAAAGCTGTTCTGGTCATTTATTAAAAAAACGTAATGTCTGATGCCTAACCCAAACAGAGATTTAGGTTATATTTGACTGAGGTCATGGTGAGATAAATTAGGATTTACAAAATAAAATTAGAACAAGTACACTGAAGAGTTTAACTCAAAGTGGAAACAGAAATGTGTTGGACATGTTTGTGAAAATGCGAGTCAGCACTGCATATGAACCCATTGGAGACGTGCAAGGCTTATAAATGGCTGCCCTGTGAATTGAACTGACTCATATTATTTTGGCAAACTGAAACATCACGATGCCAGTTCTGGATGCTCAAGAGACAAAAAAAAAAAATCCTAATTGGGCATAGAGTCCTGTTCTGTAAGGCCATGTATTCAATTGCACCAAATCTAAAATGGCTGCCAACAGACAGCTCTTTAAAAAAAAAGAAAAAAATGTCCATGTAACCTTTACTCAAGCCGTTCTGGGGAAAATCACCGAACAGTGCTCTGCTGAAGGAAGCTCATGCTGTATCTTATCTCTGTGCCCTGTGAGAGCCCTGGTGTGCGTTTGTCAAGATGGAGCAGAGATAGATAGGGCAGTTCAGTCCAATGCTGGCCCATAGCATTTGAACAGACCTCAAATACTCTTTCTTGTCACCATTCATCATCTCTTAGGTCATTTTCAGTGAAGTATCTCAATTACATTCTGACAATGACAACTGCTGTTACAAATGTCTTAAAGGTGTTTGCACATTCAGCTCAGTAGTGTTTTTGTGTCTAAATGGGGTGCTTGTGAAGGCCCTTCCTTGGTTTAATGAGCACTGTTGATTAACGGTGCGGCACAAATAAAGGGCCGGAAGATAAGGTTAAGAGATTTGGTCAAGGTAAGGGTAATCCAAGTATCCCATTTAGATTTTACCTTGTTATAGTTCAGAGCAGTAAATGCATTTCTGAGCTGATTAATTTGCCAATGCAAACTATTGGCCTTACTGAAGCCTCATTAAAACTAAGAAGTGACTGCTGTGCCATGCCTGCTTGATGTTGGGGGAGGAACAGTCCATTTAACCACTATGCAACCCACTTGTGCTTGTCTGTTTCTCTCCTTTGTCTGTGTTCGCAGTTCTAAACAGAGCACCCTGTGTGTCAGGAAAACTATATCCTCACACACAAAGAGAAGGAGAGAATGAACAGTAAATATTCAAACTACACAAAACGGTACAGAGGATTTATGTTTTTTTTTTTTTTTTTTTAAACTATAGGGAAAAAGTTCTTCAGGCAGACACAGATATTTTGCCTGTCTCTCAATACCCCCCTAACTCTCCACTCTCTTGGTCAGTTGTTCAACAGAAAAACGGATCGATAAAGAGTTGAAGCTCTCCGTGCCAAGTGACTCCTCGTAAATGGGTACTTAAACTTTTTCTCTTTTCCCCCCTCCCTCCTTTTGGTGGGGTGAGATGAGGAGCCAAACGGACTTGGTGTTTAAAGTGAGAAAATGAAAGCTGTGGTTCCTAATGTCCTGTCTAAGTGGATGTCTCTATGTGTGATGAAGCGTGAAGTGCTCTGTAACCCTAACAAAATGACTATCACTGTGTTCCTGTGCTTTTAAATGGCCTCCTCACTGTCACTATCTCTGCCTCCATCCTCCTCAGTATGAAATGGGAAGGCAAAATGGAGGACATCCATAAATAGAGTAATTGCATGAAGGGCAGGTGTTTATTGTACCCTCAGCCCTCACACACTCTATAATGATCCAAAAAGGTCAAATTGTTAATGGTGCTCGAACTTCATATTTTCCTCTGTCCATACTGAATATTGTATAAAGTTAGATTATGTGTAGTCTGTTTAATCTTCTATGATAGTTCACACCTCAAAACACAAAAATGCTCAAACTGCAAATTTATCCATGTGCTTGCCACAACGATGGATACGTAATCTTTTTTTATATAACTTCATTAAATCACAATGGACTCCTGCTAGTGATCAACAAGTGAGTTTCGAAGTCAACACAAATCTGTTGGGGTGAAAAACTGTAGCTTATTGTGTTGAAAACGTATGTGACTCGGACTGCAGCGGGTTTCCTTCAGGATTTCTCAGGAGTTTTGCTGCATTCAATTTACCCTCTACCTTCAGAAGCTACTGCAGCGAAGCCTCCACACAGCATGACGCAGCCACCATCACACTTGTGGGGATAATGTGTTTGTAGTGGTGAGGAGTTACTGACTTGTGAAAGCAGTGGGCAGAATTCATAAAATAAGCCTAATTCCACGTGGATCCTCCACTTTTGTAATGCCAGCTTCCTCTATAGTAGCCCGCTGGTTTTATAGGTAGTGTTTCCATGTCAGCTTTAGGATTGTGTAGACCTCCTGTAGACATCTTGGTGCTCTTCTTCACTAAATGTTGCACAAGTACAGTGTGCTCTATAGAGATGAGCAAATTTTTTCATGATATTAAACTGATGAGTCATGTGACTTAGCTTTTCTCTAAGTAATACTTTAGAGTGACAAATCACTCAAGTGTTTGTAATGCATTTATAGTACTAGCCCAACTTTTTTTTTTAAATATTAAATGAACATATAAAGGGAATGAATAGTTTTTACAGATGTTTTACATTCTGTGATGATGATCTTTGGTGCAACAGTTTTTCTATGTGTCTGGCTTCTGTGTTGCCAATGAATTTACCACAAAAGTTATTTTAGTCTAACACAATTTATTGAAACATTGTAACACAGACATGATTTAATAAACAAAACTTGAACTATAATCGAAGGTTTCTTTAAAAAAAATCTTGACATTTTATATTTTTGTACCATAAATCCCTTTTGAAGAAAACATTCTTCCTTCATTCAAATGATTTTCATGTAAAAACTACACATTTTAAACATGGCTTAAAATGTGTTGATTTAGTGTCCCCTTCTAACAAGTCGTCTGTTTTTATAGTAATCTAATTACAGACTTGTGGGGCATGAATGCAAAGCCAGTTTGCTTATTGCTCTTCTACAAATGTTAAGAGATGCAAAATCAATGGTTTAATTCAACATTTGCATTTCTAATGTTGGCATTTTCCAAACTTTATCCCTCTTGAGTCTCGCGCCATTCCCTATAGCCCCAAACAAAACATGGCTGCAAGAGGGGTGGATGTGACTCAAGTCAAAGCGTGTGTTAAAGTGTACACTAATCCTCTGGTACATACATGAAGAAGAGTTCAAGACAGTCTCGTAATCATGCTTACCTTATACTCTGGGTTTTTGTCAGAGGCAAGCGTGAGTTTATTAGAAGTACCTCTGGGTCCATTTCATTCAAACATTTGTGATGTGACCATGTGCTGCTTATTCCTTCAAAATTAAGTATTTCATGTTGTAGCATTTAAAGCTGATTTGATTTTTTTTTTCCTTTGAGCCATTTTGTTTATTTTTAGTCACAGTGCTCCTTTGTAAGTTTTTTTTTTCTTCCTTATTTGCTTCATAAAATGTCATCATGCATTCAGATGCAAATATGAAAAAGCAGCTTCTGCACATGAATTCAGTGAGACTCTTAATGCGAATGTTTCTGGAAGAAATGTTGCTGGTAAATACTGTTTACATCTGCTAAAGGGGTTTGAATGGGAGAAATGGATTTTTGTTGCAGCAAAAGTCGTCAGAAGCTGATTTCCCACTTGGAGCTCTGGATTAATGACATGGGAGATGATCTCAGCGTTGCTCTTGCTCAGTACAGTATGTATCCTCTAATCTTTCTCGCTGTGCTGTTGCATGACCACCAATCCTGTTACTACGGAACTCCAGACGCTATCTATTCTCAGCCTTACCCATTTTGATCTGAATGAATCTGCCCTTTATAAACACCTGTCAGGAACAAAAGCCACTCCCGGGCTTGTCACTGCTGAGTTGTTTTTGTTACCCCCGCTGCGATATTTGCTCAGGGTGCCAAGTTCATTTAATCATATTCAGTATACAAACGCTACAGCCGTGATTTATGAGGACCATGCTGGCTGTCGTACAGAAAATTCTCATGCACCAGCGTCTTCTGATTCAGTCATGTTGCTAAAAACCATAAGTACCTAAAAAGGAATTGTCCATCCAAAAAAAGAAAAGGGATCTACACAGCCGGATGAGCTAAAGACGATTTCTCTCAGTGCTCTGAATATCTTTCACTGAAACAGACGAGAGGGGCTTGTAGCTGTATTGAGCACAAAAGTTCACATGGGTTGGTCTAAGTCCATTGCCCTTCGTAAATAATTTGCCCTGTTCCACCACCGTATTCACTTACTTTGTCATGATTTGGTAAAATCAAATATTTAAGTCCAGTTAGTACTCCTACAATCTCTTTTTGCTTGATGTCTTGCACAAAGTTGAATGAGCCATCTTTTAACATTGTTTTCATGTTTGTTTCTTTCTCTCCCCCGTCTTTGTTTCAACTTCATCACCCCTCCTTTTCTGTCATGGGCCTATCCATTCTTTTCTCTTTTTTTTTTTTTTTTTTTTCTTTTCTGGGTAACCTTCACTTTCCTCCTTCCTTTTTCACTTCCCCTCTGCTCTTCCTACCATTACTTTCTCTCCTCACTGCCACTCACCCTTTTGTCCATCATTACTTCCTCCTCCCTCTGCCATTATCAGATATCCGCCTGCGTGTCCGGGCGGAATACCTGGAGCACGAATCGGCATTACGCAACGGCGTCGCCTCGGACAAGCGGCAGCCACTGGAGCGGCAGTTTGAGTTGTTCAGTCAAGCGAGTTCGCTGCTGCGTGCCAGAGACCTGGGATCCATCGTCTGCGACATCAAGTTCACGGAGCTGGCCAACCTCGAGGCTTTCTGGAGTGACTACCTGAGCGGAGCTCTGCTGGAGGCCCTGAAGGGAGTATTCATCACGGACTCTCTGAGGAACGCAGCGGGCTCCGAAGGCATGCGCCTGCTGATCAGTGTGGACCAAGACGACTACGAGGAGGGCCGAAGGCTGCTGAGAGCTAAGAAAATGATGTCATCCAGTAATGATGGGCACCCAGAGACTCACTGGGATTCATAAACTGATCAGACTCTCTGGGGTGTATTATATTAAACTTAAAGAAGAGAAAAGGGAGGAATGTAATTAATAATGGGTACAGGCAAGCTTGGAAGCATTTGAGGCCTCCATTTGTTGCATTCCATTTAATGACCACTAGATGGCAGAACTCACCATTGGTTCTTTTGTGTTCATAAGGAGCCTTTCTTTTTGCCTTTTCTTTTTTTTTTTTAAGAACTGTCAAATTTTAGTTGGAAGTGTATTATTTGTAAATGAAATATAAATAATAATGTATCACTGTATTTTTTTTTCTTTGGATTCATGCACAGGTGCTACATCAGGATGACACAGGATATATCGAGATTTTTTTCTTAGTCTCTGAGAACTGGAACAAGCAAGCCTGTGTCACCAGATCAAGTGGTAAGCCCCTCACAGCTTTATCTGTCTTACAAAATAGGGTTAAGGCAACTGGGCTACCACAAATGATGTAAAATACTAAGTTTTGGTTGACGCAAACACATAAAGCACATGGGTGTCCCTACCTCCTTATTTAACTAACTTTTTTTTTTTTTTTTAATGTGTAACCATGGGCATTTCAGATTCCAGCATAAGTTTAAAATTCCCAAATCCAAAAAGATCAATTTAACCAGAACGTCAAGATTGACTGTTGGATACTTCTTTGGGGGTTTGGAAAATAATAATAGCTTTAACTGACAATTATTTTTATTGGATTCTGTTAAAAGTATAAAGTAACCTGCCAATAAAAGTTTCTGGTCTTCAAAGAAAAAATTAGATGTGGAAAAGTGGGCTGCTCTCACAACAGATTGACCCAACTTTGGATAGAGTCCACATCTATATCTAGATAACAAACACTGGAATTTCCAGCCCTGTGTACCATGATAACCCAACTTGTGATTGCTGTGGTCAGTGGATACAGCAGTTGCCAGTAGATGACAGCAGTGATTAGGGCTGGGTCTCAACAGACCATGGAAGATTCATCATCACAAGCTTGTCAACGGCAGCCCGGATAATGCAGCAGTGGCTTGTGTCCGGGTTTCCAGCAAGGCCTCAGCAAGTGCTTCTCTCAGCAAGTAAGGCACAGGACAGTGCATCGGTCAATAGAAGTGATGTTGGGGAGATCAAAATCAAAAGTGCACATCCCAGCTCCACTCAGCCCTGCTATGTAGGCCCAGTAGAGTGGCTCATGGACAGCTGTCGACTCACCCTGCTGGAACTAATGCCTGGACTTCACTCATAGAAGACGATCAATAAGCCCCTTCACTCTAAGTCCCTTCATACAGGCACGACTTAAGCAGGCAGACACTGTCTGAAGTGCAGGTCTCTGCAGGACCGGGCACAGAAAAGGACAATGGACAGATTTCCATGTTTACTTTTGTGTGTATTTGTTAAAGGAATTAATTAATGTGTGTTTGTATTCTTTCATGAGAAGAAAGATTAATTCAATCAGGGGAACATTTTTGTTAAAGAAATTTACTTTATGAAGGTCAATTCTTTTTGTGGAAATCTTTATAAATAAGAAATAATTTCCTGTGAATAATAAAGAGTTTTGATGGCCTAAAGCTGTTTACATTTATTACCTGTTTGCGTCTCTGAAACTATCACCACTTGTAATCTGAAATTGTCTCCCAACTCTGAGGTTATTTTGAGCAGTTGTTTGAAAATTACGTGCCCTCCCCCTGCCCTGAAATGGTCTGAAGTGCTCCATTGAATGCAGGTCATCGTGGATCATGTCCTTAATTAGTTCTTGCTTTAAGATATCGGCATGATGAAACCCAAGAATAGCGTGTACCTCTAACATGTTAGTAATTCAACTGCTGTTTCTGGTTTGGCCACTTTAATTTCTTCTTCCATTTATGTGCTAAATTAATTGGACATGAAACCATTTTTTTCCCATCTCTAACATAATTTCCTATTGATGGCACCTAAAGTGTAACTGTAAATAATAACGGTATCATGTTTATTTAAGGTTATTTAAAGCTTTAACATTTAACCCTCACATATTGATCATGTTCTGTCCCTCCACAAAAAAAACAAACATTTGTTATCACAAGCTATTGCTTCACACTTTACTAAGACATGAAAGCCTAACAGCGATAATTCATGTCATGTCTATATTTTAATATTATTATATTCAAAGTGAAAATGGTGTGTAGAACTGTTAGGATCTATTATATAACCTCGTATAACCATTACATGGTTGTACAATAACATCAGAAGAGTTAAACACTGGTCTCACTTCTATGTCATAAAAATGTCATAAGTACAATTTATAAATACAAAACTTGACCCAACTAGTCTGTGGATTCAAAGCAGTGGTAAGAAACCTTGTGTGTGTGTTTTGAACACACATACACTTGCTGAAATGGCAGCTCAGGTCCCTCCATAATCTTATGACCCTCACAGTCTTTCTTTTTATGTCTGTTTTAATATCGGCTCAGAATAAATAGATTATTATTTGATAAATGGCCTGTATTGTATAGCGCTTTACTAGTCCCTAAGGACCCCAAAGCGCTTTACATATCCAGTCACCCACCCGTTCACACACTGGTGATGGCAAGCCACCCTGGGGCGCACTGACAGAGGCGAGGCTGCTGGACACTGGCGCCACCGGGCCCTCTGACCACCACCAGTAGGCAACGGGTGAAGTGTCTTGCCCACCGACACAACGACCGAGACTGTCCAAGCCGGGGCTCGAACCGGCAACCTTCCGATTACAAGGCGACCGCCCAACTTTTGAGCCACAATCG